ACAATATATCCACTCGGGTCTCTAGACCCCCAATAGTTACCACACACGACCAGTACACACGGTCCACAATAATAGTATCGCCCACCAGAGTAGATACATGAACGGATGAAGCAAGAGATTCACGGGGCGTATCCAAATAATGAACAAGATATGATGACACATATGAAAAAGTGGAACCGGGATCAAATAACACAGAGGCATCTCTGCGGCAGAGTGAGACAATACCTGTAATCATAACATATGAAGCAACAATATCTGGTCTACTTGGAAGTGCATAGAAATGAGCCTAACCACCACCTGATTGACCTCCCCCTCTGGGGTGACCCCTAGCTGACTGACCCCCACCCTTAGCTGCCTGAGCGGGTGGTGAAGTAACTGGAGCTGAAGTCGAGGGCTGACCCCTCTGCTGAGACGGACCCTCAAAAAGACAAGGACATTGCCTCCTCATATGCCCAAACTCTCCACACACATAACAACTTCCCGATGCTGGAGATAGGGACTGAAAGGAACCCCTGGCACTGGAATGACCAGTAGAAGGACCTAGCATGGAAAAACCCTGATATAAAAGAGCACGAGACAAACTCTGGGCTGAAGGGCATTGAGTGATGAATAGCCCTGATGAGAACTGTGAGAACCATGACCTGATGATGCCCCACGATAACCTAAGCGAGCTGACTGAGCCATCCTGAATAGACTACCTCTGTCGTGCTAAAACTGACCTCTTGTAGGAGCACTACCAAAGCTACCAGATCCCTGAGGCCTCTTGGCCTCCCTCTCCTTTCTCTCCTGGCGATGAACTGACTCAATCTCGCGGGCGATGTCAACAACCTCCTCAAAAGTAGCACCTAACACCCTCTCTCTAGTCATGAGAATCCAAAACTGATATGTGAGGCCATCAACGAACCTTCTAATTCTCTCTCGATATGTGGGAACCAACCAGACCGCATAATGAGCTAACTCAGAAAACCGCATCTCATACTGTGTCACAACCATATCTCCCTGATGCAACTGCTCGAACTACTTGCGCATCTCCTCTTTGCGAGACTGTGGCACATACTTCTCCCGAAAGAGAACAGAGAATTGATGCCAGGTAAGGGGCGCTGCACCGACAGGCCTACGCCTCTCATAAGCCTCCCACCAAGTAAAGATCTACACCACTGGTCTCCAAAATACCCGATGTACGAAGAATCCTCTGACACTTGTCCAAGAAACCTTGGGCATCCTCGCCTTCAGTACCACTGAAAGTCGGAGGCTGAAGTTTACCAAACCTCTCCAATCGACGCTGCTCGTCGTACGACATAACTGGTACCACATACTCCTGAGCTGGTGTAACCGGCTGGGCTGGAGGTGCCCCCGGTGTCTGAAGTCCCTGCACAACCTACTCAGGTGTGCAAGCAACGGGAGTTTAAGTACCTCCCCCGGCTGGAGAAGTAGATGCAGCCGTAGTAATAGAGACTGCCTGAGCCAACCCAGTGCATACTGATAGAATCTGAGCTAAAGCCTCCTGAAGGCCTGGAATCACAATAGGCACAGTTGGTGCCTGAGCTGGTGCTGCTGGAGCATCCGCAACTGGGACCTGATCCTAAATTGGGGCGGCTGGTGAATCTGTAGGTGCTACCCTAACTGCTGTGCTGGCTACACCCCTGCCCCTACTATGGCCTCGACCGCGTCCTCGGCCTCTAGTGTCCCCAACTGGTGGTATTGGTGGTCACTTATCCTGACCAGTAGCATGTGTCTTCACCATCTATAAGAGAATAGAATAACAAAAGTTTAGTATTCGTATCAACAGATTCGCACGACAAGAATTTCATGAATATGAATTTTTTCCTAAAGGTTCTGCAGCCTCCTAAGGATAAATACAGACGTCTCCGTACCGATACGCGAGACTCTACTAAACCGGCTTATGACTTGCGGGACCTATGTAACCTAGGCTTCGATACCAAATTGTCACAACCCCAAATACCTCGGTCGTGATGGGGCCTATCATAATACTAGGCAAGCTAACCCAACAAGTAACCACAATAAATATTTTTTGTAAAACTATTTTCTAAAACTGATTAAGTCTCGAACATTCATAAGAAATATATAAAATACTAAAATGTGCAGAAAACAGTACAACAACAAACCAACACAGTCCAACAAATCTGGTGTCACGAGTCTAGAGCCTCTAATTAGAACCAGTTCGACTGATTAATACATAATAAGCCCTAAAATATAGAAAACAAGGATAGGAAAGAGGAAAGCAGGGCTGCGGACACCGTGCAACTACAGTCTCCGATAAGCTCCGATAATGCTGGGGACCCTCACTCTGCCGCTCGGGCACCTGGATCTGCACACAAGGTGCAGGGAGTAACGTGAGTACGCCAACTCAGTAAGTAACTAAAGTAAATAAGGTCTGAGTGCAGTGACGAGTAGTTAAAAATCATATATATGAGTATGCAACAGAGTATCAACCAACTCAACAGTTTAAAAGCCAGTTACTTCGTAAAAACTTCATTTTCAATTGAAATACTTTGATATCATTTACTTAGCAGTTTTCAACAGAGGCTCATTATAAAAGAAGACTGAATTAGCAAAAATATCATAAATGGGCCCCTCAGGCAAGGTATCACTCATAGATATAGCCTCTCGGTCACTCGTGACTCAACTCTCGTCACACAGTACTCACACTCAGCACTCAACACTCAAGCTCAATAATATCTCATAATAGTAATAACCATAATAACCGCTACGGCGTGCAGCCCGATCCATATTTTATAGTCGACTACACTCACTAGGGGTGTACAGACTCTGGAGGGGCTCCTACAGCCCAAGCATCATATCGCTGTAGCGCACAACCCGATCCAATATATATACAATCCTCACCATTAGGTCCTCAACCTCTCTCAGTCATTAACCTCACAGCCCCTCGGGCATAACAGAGGAAATCAGGGAAACTCAGCTCAAACAGTTTTCACATTTAAAGAAGTAGAGTGATAAAAACCAGGTTTAAACAATAACAGGTACAACATGACTGAGGACATGCTTTCAAACAAATAGAGTGAGGAAAATAGTAAAAATTCCCCTAAGGATCTAAACAGGTTGGCACAAGGCCCCAAACATGACATATAGCCCATAATATAGTATCAATCTCTAAAATACGTGATATCATAAGATTTCAAATTAAATATGCGGCTTAATAGTCGCTACGGGACGGACCAAGTCACAATTCCTACCGGTGCACGCCCACACGCTCGTCACCTAGCATGTGTGTCACCTCATTTATCAAAACAATACAAAATACCGGGGTTTTATACTCTCAGTTCCAAATTTACAATGGTTACTTACCTCAAACCGGATGAAATACTACTCCGCGACACCTTTGCCTCTCGCCTCGGCCTTAACTCGCGCCGAATCTACCCAAAATCAGAATCATAACATTAGATTATGCTAAGGGAACGAAGCCCAAGTGAAAATAACCAAATTATACCAAAAATCCTGAAATTGGCCAAACCCGACCCTCGGGCCCACGTCTTGAAATTCCATAAAAATGACATCAATAGAATCCTTATCCTACCACGAGTCTATTCATACCAAAAGCATCGCAATAGGACCTCAAATGGCCCCTCAAATCCCCACTCAAAGTTCTCCACTATCAAGCCCTAATCCCTCAATTTTCTTCCTTAATTTCCACTAATAGCATGACTAAACAATGGAAAAATGGTCATAAACTCAAGTAATGAAGCTTAGGTAACTTATCCAACTGATATTCTTTGATTTCCCTTTGAAATTCATCGCCCTAGCTCACTTCCCGTCTTCAAAAATGGAGAACTTAGCAAATATTCGCGAATGAAACCTTATATACTTTCTAACCCAGGTATTTCGCACCTGTGGGCCAATTTTCCGCTTCTGCGGTCCTACCCACCGCACTTGCGAAAATGACTAAAAACCTCAGGACCGCACCTGCGGTCATTCTCTCGCACCTGCGCAATCGCAGATGCGTCCATAAGTCCGCTTCTGCGGCTCCGCCTAACTTACCTCTCGACCACTTTTGTGGCTTGCTTTAGCATCTGCGGGAGTCGCACCTGCGGCCTCCCAACCGCAGATGCAGCTATGACAGCAACCATAAGACTTCAGCTGCCAAACTTAACTCCAAAATCACCCGTCAACCATCTAAAATCACCCCGAGGCCCCCGAGAGCTCAACCAAATGCACGACTAGTCATATAATCATATCCCAACTTATACATATCTTCAAAATACCTCAAACAACATCGAATCAACCAAATCACATCGGATTCAAGTCTAAGGTTCCAAAATCTTCCAAATTCCGCTTTTGATCAAAAAGTCTATCAAACCGCGTCCGAATGACCTGAAATTTTGCACGCACATCCCAAATGACACAATGGACCTACTAAAACTCTCGGAATTCCATTCCGGCCCCTATATCAAAATCTCACATATCAACCGGAAAATGCCAAAATTCCATTTTCGCCAATTCAAGCCTAAATCTACTCCGGACCTCCAAATCTCATTCCAATCACGCTCCTAAGTCTCAAATCATGTCCCGAAGCTATCCGAACCCTCAGAATTCACATCCGAGCCCTTATTCACATAAGTCAATATCCGACTACAAGAAATCAGACTTTTTGCAGCGCCTAAAATCGCCACTATAAACATTTTGTGGCGACTACAGGGTTGCTGCAAGTAAACCCGTAACTAAATGTTATTTGTGACGACTTCTTGAGGTCGCCACAAAAAATGCACATGTGGCAATTTTACTCGCCCCAAAAAATAAGGAAAAGTTCGCCAAAAGACTGTAGGCCACTACAGATAAAGTCCTTAGTCGCCACTAAAAATTGTAACACTCTCAGTGGCAACTCTTAATCGCCACAATTTCCTGGGTTTAGTGACGACCATAGTCGCCACCAATTGTATTTGTCTTTTTAAAAAAAAATAGCTCCAACAATATTACTACCAATATTGCACAAAGGTAATAGGGCAACTCATCAACATTAGAAGAGACAAAAATAAAGACATTTATCAAACAAAATAACATAGGAAATTTTTAATAAAAATTCATAACATGTTGTAATTGTGCATACACTGAAAACAAAAAGCAAAATAAGATGTCTTCAAGTTTCGCCTTTGCTAGCATCATTTTCTCTTGAAGTCCTGAAACACAGCATACAAGTCCAAGCCGTGAACTCAGAATCCCGAGCCTTGAAAACATACCTGCAATCACCATGATAATGTTTGGAAGTACAGTACATAATTACTTTATCAAAAGTTTCTAGTGAAGGAAAAAAAGTTCCATTCAAGTTAGATATATGCCAAATAAAAATCTAAAGGTTGTTCAAGTCAGGTATATGCTTATCTAAATTCTACATACCTGAAAAAATAAAATTGAATAGCTTGTCATTACATATATCTATTACATACAACTAAACGTCTTTTGTGTCAATTTCCTTTCATAATGACCACAATAAAGCTCATTCATGAATAAATTGTCAACAATGAAGTTAATAAAAATAATTACATGTCAATGAAATAAGCTTTATTAGAAACACAACAGAAGAACATTTATCGTTTACATTAAATTATTATAGCATTTTTATGTTAGTTTTAATAGAGTAACTACGTTTTGCAGTGCATAGCTATATGTTCAAGGACAACAGGCCTCCTAGTACCACATACTCCTGAAACAACCTAGATAATAAAAAATATTTTTGATAATATGAATGAATAGATAAAACAAATTATAACACCCGGGTATCTGAAGATTGGTTAGGAGTAGATCCATACCTTCTATTTCTTCCTTACTCTTCATTTCAAGGTTAAATTTAGATTTTACAAGCATTAGGAACAATTTTCCTTTGAGATTCAATAAGAGACTCAAAGATGTAAGCTTAATAAGTTTGTCAAACTATCTGGCAAAACCAAATTTATCAAGTATGACTGTTGTGGCATGTAGGGGTCCAACTAAACAAGACACTTCAAATATGTAGAATTAGCCAACTACTGTTCGAAAGCCACACTTTCTAACAAATTATTACAAAAATATATATGTGCACTCATGCATAACAGTTATCTTTAAGAAAAAGTCAAATTAGAAAAATAAGAACACGCTCAATAACATAAAGAGAAAAACTGAGAAATGTAACAAACCTCTTGAGTTTCACGATAATGGAGGTGTTATATGTTTAAGAGTCCTGATAAATGGTGCAAACCAAAAAAATCATAATCAGCGGATGCATCTATATTTTATCTAATTACTAAAGTGAGCCACTAAATTTTAACAGAAGAAAAATAAGGGAGGAAAGGTTCAACAAGGTAGTGCTAGGAACTACGTACTAAAATGGTTCATACTTGTCAAGCAGCCAATAATATCTCGCAACAAAGTTGGGTTATCTTCTCCATATGCATAGTAACATGAATTTGTTCTTCATTACCAACCTACACTAAGAAACAAAATAAAATTCATCTTCATGAAATAATTGCAACTTCACCTCAAGATCTTGAAAATTACAGATAGCATTAACTAGGAAGAGAGCACATCCTTCTTATGAGTAGAAAAGAGAAAAGAAAGAAAAATAAGGCAAAGAGAAGAAAATACAAAACAACAAATGTATATCTAAACCATTCTAATATCAGTACATCATCAAAGATCAAAATCTGCAAATACGTTGTGGAGACCATAATTTTTCCTCTCGTGCCACTGGAATTACTCTATAACAAAAAGACAAAGAACAAAGAAGACACTCTAGATGGAGGAAAAAAGGTATAATATATAACCAGATGGAGGGACTAACACCAACATACACAAAAAAGCAACAAAAATAGCAGGTTCATTTTACTAGAACATCTTCAGAAAATTAAAAGAAAAGTTACTATAATCCTACATGAAGTAAAGCTTATCAATCTAGTTAATCTCATAGTGCATTAAATATGAAAGATGAAAATCATTAAGTATACAACTAGTAAATGCCTCACCAAGCAGAGAAGTCCAAACTATTCTACTACAAAAACTTCACCATATCTCTCACAAACACAATTTCACAGCCGCCCATCTAAAAAATTAACAGGTTCATATAGTAAGAAAGACTGCACTAAGTACATCTGAGAATAGAAAGTAACAAGAAATTTTAAGTAAACGAGATTCGTTCAATAAAATAGTTTTGGCATCATAACATGTTATAAGATGAGGCAGTAGATGGACAGAAATAACATATGAGACATAACCATTTTGGGATTAGAACAATACAAGCTGAAACTATTGTAACTTACCTTATGCATCTTGTGGTGATGAAACTCTTGAGAAATCTAGTAACGAGGAGACGAGCTCCTATTTCTGTCCAGGTAGGTACTGTGTTTGGGATAGTTCAGGACACTATTGGTTCTCCTAAGCAGACCCAGTGCAGCAATCATGCCTGCTTGAGAATGAGAAAAAGTAGATTATTATCGACACACTGTTTTGTTCTCATGGATTTTCTTTCTCCTTTTGCTGAAAACTTAATGTGTATTATTATTTTCTGTTCGCTTAGGAACTTGTCTCATGCTTCAAGTTAAAATCTATTAAGCTTGCCAGCAGAAATGGTACTACCTTTAGTCTATCCTCATTGAAGCCATAACTTGAAAGTATTTCAATAAATATAACATCAATAAGCGGTAAAAGCTAAAGTGGTTATCTTTTAAGTTTGAGTTGGAGGAACTAGTGAAAATGTAACACCAGTACAATTAGTATAGCATGTTACAAGGAACATTCATTTTGAAGCAACTCAGTAATTTGTATAGAAAAGGATTTATACCTTGATATGCTCTACAAAATCATATTCCACTCTTTCCTTGGATTTGATCTAGCTCGAATGAAGCTGTTGATGCAGCAACTGAGGGTAAAGGGTGGCCCGTGGTCCACATAAGCATTGTATGTTCAAGTGTGTGAGGAGGATTAAGAGCTACACAATAAGGTCGCGCTGTCTCACCAAGATTCTGTAAGTTTACTTTCAAAGAAAAGAGGCCAGTTAACAAGAAAAAAGACTTTTGTGCTGAAGAACATTACAAATGGTTCTGATGCATCGCACACCTGAAGTATATTGAGCCAATATGTCACACATGCTTTATCGTTCATTGTTCCACGAAAATTTCATGCACCTCATGCTGCTGGGTTGCGAGACAGGAAAGTTGTCTCAATGAAGGTAATATTACTGTCGTAGAGGAATAGAAATAAGTGTTCATTTTGACATCCTAAAATCTTTGTAACACTATGGTTCAAAATACCAACTCACTTCTTTCAAATAAAGCAGCAAGAGAAGAAATTATGAATATTTATCAAGAAGATGCATTCTCTTCAACATTATATTCAGCATTTTGCACGGTGTTCATGAGTAGAATTCATTCACTAATTTCAGAGGCAGTTGCTAACTCTATTTCTTCCTTCAGAAAGCACTTTCAGATTAACCTTAGAAATTTAGTCGGTTGAGTTGTTAACCAATACATAACAAAATGGCAAATTTGAGAAGAAATCACTAGATCGAATGAAATTGCGATTATGATAATTCTTACCACCTGAACTTGCTTTAGACATTAAACCAATAGAACATATTAATGAGAATTAATACTGAAACAATAATAAAAATCAGTAATTACTTAAACCTCAACATAAAACTAACTGAAGCTTACCTAATGAAAGAAGTAGCAATCGAACAGAGAAACAACAAAAAATTAGACCCTCAGTAGTTAATATCCTCACTGACTGGAGCGCAAATTAGCTCTTTTCCTTGAAAAAATGAGAAATTCTACTTTTGCTTTGCAAAAGCATGAATTCTTTACCTTTTTTTCCTTTTCTTCTCAACATATATGAATCTAAAACTTATATGTACAGTAAAACATAAATCAAAACAAAAAATTAAACCATTAAAACAAGAATTGAGGAAAATCACTACACTCCTAAACATGCATTAACCCTAGCAAACGGTAAAGAGAAGAAAAACTTGAAATATCGAAATTAAGCATGCATTCTCGAAAAGTAGTTTACCTTTACCCTTAGCAAACGATTTAGAAGAGGGATTTGAGAAAATAAGGATTAGCACATAAAAGTATTGGGGGAAAGGGGCATTTTCAGCCGATGAAGAGACCTCACCTTGTCCTAATTTGTGGAGAGAGCTATGAGAGAGACTGAGAATAAAGGTATTTAGCCGAGGGACTAAAATTTGTGGAGGGAGACTAAAATTTGTGGCCTAAAATTTTGTTATTCGCGGGAATCGAAAATTTTCACCTAGAGTGGCATGTACTAGCAGCGACTCCTTAAAATCTGCCACTGATTGTGGAACTTTTTGTAACGACTTGGACCTTGTCGTTGCTAAAACTGCAACTTTTAGCAACAATTAGATTACTCGCCGCTAAATCCTTAATTTTAGGTGCGACTTTTATTGTCGCCACTAAAAGTAGCTTTTCTTGTAGTGGCTACGAGGAGGCTATTGGTAATTCCATAAAATATTTACATCTATTTTTATCGAACTATATTTATATATGTTAATTTAGTTAACACGTTTTATTATATTTGTAGGGAAAAAATATGGGAGGAAGATGACTTATGATGAGTTCTTCATGGAGACTCATATCCGGAAGAAGAAGGCACCGACAGATCCAAGTAGATGGGTCGAGGACCGGGCACAGACTGCATATGTAAGTTTCATAACTACTATAAATATTTACAATATTATATAGTTAATAATTTTCTATCTTCTAAATAAAAGGTCGGTACAAGATTAAAGTGGAGGAGCACACTCAGAGCTTGCCACCGAATGAGCAAGACGAGCGACCACCCCTTTCAGATGAAGAAGCGACGAGGATATAGTTGGGTGTTGTCAGTGGTCCTAAAAAGGGGATAGCATACGACCTTCCAGAGAGATCATTTCGGCGCTACAAGGCTGGATTGCAAGGTATAGGGACTTCCGCCCAAGGCGAGGCAATTGATAGGTCGACTATCTCGTCTATGGAACAGAAGATCGCAAAGCTGACAGCAGAGCATAAAGAGACAAAGGCTAGAGAACAAAAGAGAGATGAACAATTTGGTACCCTTCAAGTTCATCTAGAAAAGAGGGACGAACAATTTAATCTCTTTCAAGGTCAGCTGGCCAATCTTCTTGCTATGGTGCTTTCCCATTCCCCGGTCTCCTGAGCCTTCCCCGTATGCTAATCCTTCTCGTCGTGATCTTTCGAACCATGCTGACGATGAAGGTTCTAGTAGTGAATATGGAGATGATGCAATATAAAACACTCATTGAATGGTATGTATTGCTAAACAAAGTATTGAACTTGTCAATATTTAATTGGGACTAGTTTTGAATGATGATTGTATTGTTGATATTATTTTGTTATTGAACATTTGTATAGTTGTTGTTGTGGTTGTTATTAGCGTTGTTGGTGAATTGTTGTTGTTGTTGTTAGATAATTGTTGTTGTTATTGTTAGTTAATTGTTGTTGTTGTTGTTATTAGTTAATTGTTGTTATTGTTGATTAATTGGTTGAACGGCAGCAATATGATGCTGCCATTATAGGATGGATATTGGTTGTAATTGGCAGGTGGTGTAACTTAAAAGCAGACATTTTCTGCCCAATTTTTACCCAGAAAACCGACCGAAATTTATCGGCATTTTTTTTTGCCCAGAAATTTTCGACCGAAATCGATCGGAAATTATGAATTTAAATTTATTTATTGAAATAAATTAACAATTTATTACAATTTATAAATAATTATATATTTCGGTCGGTATTTGAAAATTAAATAATTTTTTATTATTACCAACCGATTTCGGTCGGTAAATGATGTTTGACAGTCAGTCAACGCTTTGAAAATACCGACCGATTTCGATCGCAACACGTTAGTGACCATCATTTTTCCGACTAATTAAAAGCGGTCGGAAATTGGTTGATTTTTTATAATTTTTGACCAATTTCGGTCGGTTTTCTTGGACGAATTTAAGCAGTTTTTAGTAGTGATAAGGAAGCATGACAACAAATTATTTCTTGTTTTTTCATTTATTTTGATTCTCCGTTTACCTTATTATAACCAAAAAATGACGGAATTCTTTTTATACATTTAAAAAAAAGGAGAAGCCGTACCTCGTGTTGTTGTCACGATCCAATTCATACCAAGAAAAATATGCTTTAGTCGTTCCAAGAGAAGATGATATATTTAGCTTGGCCATGTCAGCAAACAGACATCACTCTGTTCCTTTGATGAGGTTGGGGCGGCTACAGGATTGCACGTCATTTGACGAATTACTTGTTTGCTTTTAATAATATGAAAAATTTATTTAAGCAAAAACACAAGAAACGGCGATTAAAGAGTGGAACTAATGCAGATTGCCAGAATCCAAACGTGCCTTCAAAGAAGTCTTTATGATTTCTTTTTATTAAATTATGATGGACAATTTGCATAAAACTGTTGATTTCTGTAAAGTTCTCAATTTAGTGGGAGTAGATGCCCTCTTCAATTCCAAAATGATCAGTAAATTATTGAAAAGGAGAAGTACCAGGAGATTTCTCTACTTTTCTGTCATGAGCTTGAAATTCATTTCCATAATGTCTGTTTCCAAAAAATGTTCCTTAACTTTTTCATTTGTGGTCATACATAGCAGTTAAGTCTGAACACTACTTATTTAAAGTTTCACGTACAATGTCAAATTGTGTAATAATTCACATCGATTAATGCATTCTTCCTCTCAATATCTCATAACAAAGAGTTCTATAATATACGGTGAAAGAGACGTAAATTAAAATTTGCATGAGAGCAATTTTTGTATTCAAGATCACCAAAAGTAGACATGCAATAGTTTGTATACTTTTACTTTTTGATTCGAGAGGACCAACCATTGTATTGAGTTTAATTAAGCTAGTGTTTAACCCAAAAGATATTGAAACCTTTTCGATTAAATTAATTAAGGAAAATGAAGAGGTAAATCTTAGTCAAACGTAATAAACTCTAAATCTATAAACAAATCATAAAATAATGCATAAGACGAAATAGAGGTGATCAATTTTATTGATGCTTTTCATTTTGCCTCCCATTGATCGATGGAGAAAACCATTATACATATTCCCTGGGAGATTGTTTTTTCTCTCTTTTACTATGACGGTTACAGAGGAGAGGAAAGAGAAAGAGAAGACCCCCCCCATTCTAGGAAGGTTCACTTCCTATATATAGCTATGGAATCCTTGTTGCGTTCTCGGGTCAACACACTTTCATACCACGTCCGCCTTCGTCATTCCCTGAGTGTTTCTTTCCGAATTGTCGAGTTTTGTGAGCTCGGGGTTTGGAGCAAATCATGTCGTCATCCACTGTCTCGCCACTTGGACGGGATCTCGGATGGGCCGACCGTAGCGGTCAAATTTTGACCAATACAGTTAGTCCCTCCGTCTGCCGGGGTCGTACTTGTCGGGCCTGGTAGACGGATTATGATTGCTACATATCTGCCTTTTACTCGAAAGAACTTTGCAAATCCTCTTTTCTCCTGGCACTTCGGATTTTAATTTTCTTCAGTTAGGCAAGAACTTTCGTCTCTCCCTTTCTTTTATCCCTTTGTTTTATCAAATCGACACAAATAGATAGAGATTCTTCTCGTGCTGACCTCCCTGCCACAATTCCGGTGCCGGAAAGCGATGTTCTGATCACTGGAGGAGCAGAAGTGGTGGAAGATGAGGAGGTCCCATCGGTGGCTGCGATCTTGCCTCGTCCTGAGAGAGCATGGAATGATTTCCACAGTCCCGCCAGGGAGGAGCCGAAACCTACTCCCTCTATTATAAATGAAGTGGGGATCGTAGAATTGAAGGCTAAGTAGGGAATCCCTCGCTATGTCGAAATACTACCAGCGGTGGGGAATGACATAGTCCACTTCGACCACCCAGGGTATTGCGCGTTCTAGGCCTACCCATTTATTGTGGGATACATGCTTCCTCTCCCTCTCTTGGTGGTAGATTTTTGCCGCTTTTACGAGGTGTGCCCAGCTCAACTTTCGCCGTACCTGTACAAATTGTTCCTCATGCTGCTCAAGTTTGCGGAGCTTGCAAGTCATGAAATCACTTTGGAACATATGCTCAATATCTTTCGCCCTCAACTCATTCGTGGTACGATGATTCACATGCATCACTGAGGGTCGAAGAGTCTAGTGGTGAAGATGGACGACAGGGCCAACCGTCGCTTCCACGAGAACTACTTCTATGTGTGGACCAAGCACCTTGTGGCGGAGCCTATGGGGTTCCCTGAGAAATGGAACTTCGCACGTAAGTCTCTATACTTTTTGTCGGAGTGATGTTTGACCGCTTTCCATTGGGTAGCACTAAACTGTTTACGTTTTTACAGCCGCAAAACTACCCCTACACCTATTGATGGTATCCGTGAGTGGATGAGCGCCATCCTTCCTCATACAACGGGGATCCGTACATGGTCATCCTTCTATGAGAGATATGGATGCAAGCCCCTTACTGGTGAGTGAGACTGTTTTTGTTGGCTATTCTTTCCCTCTTTCCTTTTACTCGGTTTCTTACATGATGTTCGTCGATGCCAGGGAGAGTGCGGAGAGCGAGAGCTCCTCCATTGACTTTTTGTTAGTCTATACCGTCTGCTCGCCCTGCTTCACTGCCTACTGCTCGACCTTCGTCGAGGGCCGCGTTAGTTGAGTCTACGGCTGTGGCCATACACATAGAGGCTGCCCCTCAAACTGAAGTTCCGACCCATATTGCCTATCCATCGAGTGAATCCTCTCATGCCGAGAAGGGAGAGGGGCCATCCAAGAGCCGACGAGTAGAGTTCGAATCGGCCTCTCCGGTCGTGATACATCTGGAAGAAGACCTTTCATTTGATGGGGTCTGGGGCGGGGATTGATACCACTCCGCCCGTGGAGACAGAGCCAGCCGTTGTAGCTGCCCCATCAACGAAGGTCCCTGCCGCTATGATCGATCAACAACCTGTCACAATGGTGGGTCAGATTTTTGAGGCCGCTATTACTGTTGTGTACGGGCCTTCGTCCTTGGTGCCTAGTCGTGCTTCCTCCTCGGCCGCTGGAAGGGGAAAGGGTGGCATGGTCGATGACTACAAATCTAAGTCTGACCTTAATCCTGATAATGTTAGGATATTTGAAGAGGGTCTTACCTGCTCGGTGGTTCATGCGGGAGGCCCGTCCCGTATTTTTAAGATATCATCGGATATTAACCTCCTGGGGGACATGATAAGTAGGGATATTAACGAGTTTCATGCTTCTTTTCCTATGATTTGATTATAAATTGTTACAAAATAGTCCCAAAAAGCTCATAAGTTGTGCTTGATTGCAGGTTTGATCGACAAAGTGATGAAAT